GAGAAGGTGAGAAGGGACATCAGGGACAGGAGCGGAGGGCCTGGGGCGCCCTGGTGGGGGGTCAGGCACTTGTGGGGTACTAAAAGCATAAACACGAACGCCATTGTAACGGTTATCACCGTGATGACCACAAAGAGAAGCAAGTCAGGTGCCGGAGGGATAGTCCAGTGGGGAGGGCGTTTGCCTTGCACGTAGCTGACCTGGGTTCAATCCCCAGCATCCCACAGGGTCTCCCGAGCACCAGCAGGAGTAGTTCCTGAGTGTAGAGCCAGGAGTAATCACTGTGCGTCGCCGGGTGTGACCCAAAAAGGAAAAAAAAAAAGAGAGAGAGAGAGAGAGAAATAAGTTAGTCGGGCCCTGGGATATGGTTCGAAGGGCTGGAGCACACACTTTGCACGCAAAAGGCCTGGGTTTCATTCCCAGCACCGCATGGTCCCCAACCCCACCCCAGCACCCCCAGGAGTGGATTCCTCCCCCGAAAAGCAGTGAGCCAGGAGTAACCCCTGAGCACGGCCACGTGGGGCTCCCCCAAACCAAATTCATGGGGGCTGGAGCGATAGCACAGCAGGGAGGGCGTTTGCCTTGCATGCCGCTGACCCAGGTTCAATTCCCAGCATCCCATAGGGTCCCCCGAGCATAGCCAGGAGTAATTCCTGAGTGCAGAGCCAGGAGTAACCCCTGAGCATCGCGGGGTGTGACCCAAAAAGGAAAAAAAAAAGCAAATTCATTTAAAACGTGCTCGGCCCGGGGCCTGGCAGCCAGAGCCAGGAGTAGCTACGGCCGAAATGCCTCTCTGATCTCGAAACACAGGAAGAGCGTCGCCAGTGAGCTGGACAGGAGCTCGCGGGCAGCCCCAGGTTCTCAGCCACCGTGGACGCTGCCGTGTGCATCCCAGGCAGAGTGTGTGGGACCCAGCGAGTCACAGTGAAATGTACCATGTGCCATCAATATCTCCCCCACCCGTTTCCACTTATTGAGCAGTACATCATTAGAATATCCCAGGGCTCTCGACAATAAAATCAATAAGACGCTTCAGCCATGGGCTGTGGTTTAATAACTCCAGACTTGAATGAGGGGGAACAAACTCAGTGAGCAGGAAAATTTCCTGAGTGCTGGGTAAGGGCGGGGGACGGGCAGACGGGGAGGCGAGGCTGGGGGGGGGCACCTTTGCTCAGAGAGGGAGGGGAAGAATAAGGGGTCTAGAGTCTCGGTGTGGGGGTGCAGGACAGGACTTTCCTGAGCTGTGTTGGGAGGAGTTTCTGGGTGGAGGCAGAGCGGGGAGGTGAGGGGAAGAACAGCGAACCCCAGATGGCTTCACCCCTGTATCTTCACATCGGATCCCTCGTGGACGTCGCAGGGGAGGTGACCAGTACTTGCCACCCACCAGAGCCAGGAGCTGAGGGATTTTCTGGGACGTGGTTTCTTAGTTGATGGTTTCAGGACAGGTGATGCAAATGGCCGTTCAGGCTTCAGAATCCCCCAGCAGCCTGTGATTTTCCTGAGCGGACTTGGGGGTCTCTTGCAGGGACCCAGGAGCTTCAGAGGCCCCCTAACCCCCAGTTTTGGATTCAGGAGGTAGAGGGGGACGGAGAGTTGACGTTTGTGCGGCCAACACATTCCCAGACATCGAGGGGGCTGCTAAGACCAGACCCCCGATTGAGAACACGGGTTGTGGTGCAAGGGGCCGGCGCTCAGCTCTGCCCCGGGGTGAGAAACACCAGATCTAATCAGTGGGGGAGAAGGGAAGGGATCAAGAGGGCCCAGGACAGCCCGCGCCTCCACGGTGAGGAATAGTGGGTTCACCCCATCAGGTAAAGATCCATGAACTGATTTTTTTTTTCATTTCATCATCCTGTTATTCGTCGATTGCCTCGAGCAGGCCCCAGTAACGTCTCCTTCATCCTAGCCCTGAGATTATATTCAAGGCTCTTTAGGAGAATGAGACCCATCATTGTTACTGGTATTTGGCATATTGGGTACGCCACGGGGAGTTTGCCAGACTCTGCCCTGTGGGCAGGCTACATTCCATAGCCTGCAAGTTTGTCCAAAGTAGGAATGAACTGTTTATTGTAGTCAAAATCTGGAAACAACCCAAGTGCCCGAGAACAGATGACTGGTTGAAGAAACTTGGGTCCATCTACACAATGGGATGCCATACAGCTGTTAAGAGAGACGAAGTCATGAAATCTGCTTATAAGTGGATGGGCATGGAGAGTCTCATGCGAAGTGAAATGAGTCAGAAAGAGAGGGACAGACATGGAAGGACTGCACTCATTGGTGGAATATAAAATAACATAATATGAGACTAACATCCAAGGACAGTAGAGACAAGGGCCAGAAAGATTGCTCCACAGTTGGACGCCTGTCCCATGAGCTGGGGGAGAAGGCAGCTGGGATGGAGGAGGGATCACTAACTCAGTGATGGTTGGAGGGATCATTCGGGATGGGAGATGTGTGCTGAAAGTGGATAAAGGACCAAACGTGATGGCCTCTCAGTATCTGTATTACAAACCATAATGCCCCCAAAGTAGAGAGAGAGTATGGGGGAAATTGTCTGCCATGGAGGCAGGGGGCGGATTGGGATGCAGGAAGGGCGCGGGAGGGGGGGTAGGGGGGCGGGATACTGGGGACATTGGTGGTGGGGAATGTGCACTGATAGAGGGATGGGTATTGGATCATCGTATGATTGTAACAGCACAGCGGTAGAGTGTTCGCCTTACACGCGGCCAACATGGCCGACCCGAGTTCGATTCCTCCGCCCCTCTCGGAGAGCCCGGCAAGCTACCGAGAGTATTCGATATGCCAGACACAGTAACAACAAAGTCTCCAATGGAGACGTTACTGGGCCCGCTCGAGCAAATCGACGATCAACGGGAGGGCCTTTACCTTTTACCTATGATTGTAACTCTAACGTAAAAGGTTATAACTGTATCTCACGGTGATTCAATAAAATAAAATTTTTAAAAAAAAGATCCGTGAACCTAATGCGAAGAAGACCATTTGGCGAGGGGTATGCGTGATACTTCGGGTCCCGGGAAGTTGGGCCAGGGCTCACTCTGCAGCCTGCTGGGCCTGGCGCTGGCAGTCACTCAGAGCTCTGTGCTTCCTGCTCCTCGCTCCGTGACCTTGCTCTAGTTCCTTACCCTCTCTGAGTCTGGCGCTGTTCCCCAGAGGCGGGGCTCACTCATGCGGCAGTTTGGCGCCTGGGAAGAGCTCCAGAGAACCCCAGTTTCGTATGCTCTTCACCACTGTTCTGGCCCAGCTGGGTCATGTTCTCAGGGAAACGCTCGAAGAGGAAGACTCCGTGGTCAGGAAGTAGGCTCAGGGGGAGCCAGGCCCTTTGCTGCCTGGAGCCAGGGCTCAGGTGGAAGCACACCTGAGCCCGGTCCCCTTTTGTGTGGGCTGCAGAATGGGATGGGGACCCTCCACCCAGGAGACAGGCTGGTGTGCTGGTGGGACTTGAGAGAGGTCAGGAGGTGCTATTATCAGTCAGATTTGGGATGATCCTGCCCTCAGGAACGTGACTGCTGGCTCAGCCGTCCCGGGGTCAGCGAGCTGAGGGACCTCCAAGAAGGGCTGGAAGAAACAGGAGCGGCCCCTTTGACCTCCGCTGTCCTGCCGTCGTCCAGGCGGTGCCCGTATCTACAGTGCTCACAGCTCCCCTCCCTCTAAAGCAGCCTGGACTCACTGGAATCATTGGAAGCTGTTCAGTCAGAATTCACATCACCACCTTCCATTCTTTGCACAATCCGGGAGTTTCTCGGAAGTGAGGGTTTGAACCCCCAGCTCTCCTCGTACTAGTACCTAGTCCTGCGCTTGCCGCCTGGTAGACCCCGAGCTCAGATTGAACGTGTGGGTGAGGTGATCCGTGGCTGGCAGAGTTGGGACACCTTCTTTGCTTGAGGATGATGGTGGGAGATGGACAGGGGAGGGGTCGGTTTCCAGAGTGGACGGGGGGTTGGTTGCTGGGTGGACGGATGGTTGGTTGGTTTCCAGAGTGTTTGGGGGGTTGGTTGCTAGATGGACGGATGGTTGGTTGGTTTGCAAGGTGGATGGGGGGCGGGGTGTTGGTTGCTGGGTGGATGGATGAGTGATTGGTTGGTTTCCAGGGTGGACGGGGTGCTCACTGGTGGATGGACGGAGGGTTGGCTTTGGGATCTCAGGCACGCACTGTTCGATAGTGGATGAAACAGAACCCTGGGCGTCTCTCAACTCTGGTGTTTCCATTCTGAAGTCGGAGATAAGGGTAGATAAGGCTCTGTGCAGGGCTGTGGTGAAGAGCGATTGAAATGCCGAGGAAGCGTGAGTTTGTGCTCGCGGATGGGCACGTTGCCTGAAAGCAGCGGGCAACCTCCCCTGGACTGTTGGGCGTGTGCTGAGTGCTGTTCCAGGGCGGTAAACTCCGTGATGGAGCAGGTCGAGGTCGTTCTCACCTCCCATGAGACTTCTGTCCCCAGGGCCTGAGAGTGGAGCTGGGGGGCAACAGGGTGGGAGGAGGGGGATCCCCTCAAACATGACGGTCAGGTCCCAGTTAGGCGGGACTGGCCAGCTGAGGAGGCTGGGGCTAGTCGTGGGCTCCCTACCGACAGCACTTCCAGACACACAGTGTGTGTGTGGGCGGGGGGGGGGGGGGGGGTTGTCCCGGGCAGTGGTCAGGGGTCCCAGAGCCACTACCCGCTGCTCAGAAACAGAGGCAGTGCTGCAGGGCCAAGGACACGGGGACCCCCGGGGCCACACCCTGAGGTCCCGGCAGGAGCAGAGCGCTGTGACTCAGGGCCTCTGTTTTCTCACTGACCGTGGATGCACGTTTGTGGGCCCCCCACAGGCACGAGTCCTGCTGTCCAGTCGTCCCCGATTCCCCCCGCCGTGAGACGCAGCGTCCCCCCACGCTCCCACGCTCCCGCCCCCCTGTGCCTCCTTCCCCAGGTTCAGGGGGTGGACACTGCCCCCGAGACCCACCCCCGGGAACCGCCAGCCTCACCCTGTGCCCCTCCCCCCAGGCAAGGCCAGCAAGAGTGTGCAGTGGGACGAGGACGCGGTGGAGTTCCTGCCCGCAAACCCCGTGCGCATCGCCTTCGTGCTGGTGGTCCACGGCCGCGCCTCCCGGCAGCTCCAGCGCATGTTCAAGGCCATCTACCACCGGGACCACTTCTACTACATCCACGTGGACAAGGTGAGGCCACGGGCGCTGCCCGCCTGGAGCTCGTCTGGATGTGCTCTGCGTGTGCGTGTGTGTGTGCGTGCGTGTGCGCGCTTGAAGGGCTAGCCCAGACACGTGTGTGCACCTGTGTCTATGCGCGTGGCTGTTTGTGTGTGTTTGGCCTGTCGACATGGACGTGTGTGTGTGTGTACGTGTCTTTGCATGCATGTGGGTCTGTTATGCGTGTGTGTAGCTGTGCGGTGTGTGTGTGTTCACATGTGCATAACCGTGGGCAGTGTTTGTGTGTGTGCACTTGTGTCTGTGCGTGTGGCTGTTTGTGTGTGTTTGGCGTGTACACATAGATGTGTGTGTACCTGTCCGTGTACACGCGTGGGTCTGTGTATGCGTGTGTGTAGCTGTGCGGTGTGTGTGTTCTCATGGGCCTATCTGTGGGCAGTGTGTGTACCTACCTGTGTATGTGCGTGTGCTCTGTATTCGTATGTGTGCATATAAATACATACTTTTTTGCATATGATTTGCATGTTGTCTATACACATGTGTGTTTGCAGCATCTGTATGTGTTGTTCCCAGCCATACCTTGATGCTTTCTCCAGAACCTTTGTTCTGACTTTCCCTCACAGCCTCACGTGTTCCGCCACCCCAGGCCCCACCTGGAGGGAGCCCCCTCCCCGGCTAGGCTCCCCTTTCCTCCAGGGGGCACACAGGAACCTCTGTCTTTGCCACCTGTCCCTTCTCTGTTGCCCCAGCCCTGAGTGCCGCAGGTGGGTGTGACAGTGCGTGTGGCTGTCCCCTTGGCTACCTGGACAGGAGCTTGCAGCGCCCTGCTGAGCGCCCAACTCCCCCAGGAGGTTTCTGCTGACGACCAGTGACGAGCCCAGAGTGGGAAGGCTCGACCCTCACACTCCTCAGTGAGGGCCGATGGATCCCCCGGGTCTCCACCTGCTGCCCCAGAGGCCAAGCCCCCAGGCGGGGGAGCCCTCGGCCCCAAGGCTGCATTTCCAGTCCCTGAGGTGGCGCTGGGGAGGAGACACAGCCTGATCCAGAAGCAGTTTTCCCGCCCCCCCCCCCCCCCCGTGCTCTCAGCAACCCCATCCCCTGGGGAGGGCCCCGAATTGGGGGGCGGGGACCATGACCCTGGGGACCTCCGGACGCCCCAGGCTGCTGACCCTCGCCCTCTCTCTGTCCACAGCGCTCCAACTACCTGCACCGCCAGGTGCTCCAGCTGGCCAGGCTGTACCCCAACGTGCGTGTGACCCCCTGGAGGATGGCCACCATCTGGGGCGGGGCCAGCCTGCTGGCCACCTACCTGCAGAGCATGCGCGACCTCCTGGACATGCCCGACTGGCCCTGGGACTTCTTCATCAACCTCAGCGCTGCCGACTACCCCATCAGGTGAGCCCACGTCCGCGTCCCCATGGGGCCGCCGTTCAGGGGTGAGCGTCCTGTGTCCGCGAGACGGCCCGACAGACCCGTGTGTCCCGCCATGGGCAGCCCCGGAGCTCGGGCTTTGTCCTCTTCTCTCACCTGAGCCCACTCTCTGCCCCGCTCCGGGAAAGGGGCCTGCGGCCGGGACCCTCCTAGCTAAGAATCGTGGAGGGGGACTGGGGCGGGGAGGGCGGCTTGTGTTGGGCTGGCGGGGGGAGCAGGGGGCTGTGTCCTACAGTTGGGCAGTAAACGGGGGGCCGAGTCATCAAGGAGAGATGAGAGAAACAGGCGTGACCGTGGCAGCAGTGCTGCTGGTATGTTTGGAGCGTGGTGGGGCTTGGGGGGAGCCCAGGGATGGGGGGGCAGAGAGGAAGGAGAGAAGGATTCATGGATGGATCCTTGGGTGGATGGATGGATGGACAGACAGGCTGACAGACGGATGACTGCGTCAGAAGCATTCCCATGGACCCACGACTCCCCGCCCTCTCCAGGTGTGTGACCTCCGGCCCAGCCTCTGTGGCCGTGAGGGATGATTAGGGGGACCCGGGAGACCAGCCCTGAGAGGGAGGGAAGGGCAGCGGCCAGCGGGAAGGTGTGTCTCTGCGTGAACGTGGTCTATATAGAGCGTGAGCCGTGCAAAGCCCTCCAGAGGTCCTGTCCGTGGGGTGGGCAAGAAGGCCCACTGGGGTCTCTACCAAGAGCTGCCCTTGCCTGGACTGAGTCCTCTGTGCATCTACTGACCAGCCTGAGAGGCCAGGGTAAGGGGCTGTGCAGCAACTCCTGGGCAGTCGCCCCTTCTGGCCCTCCACAGCAAATCCATTTTGCAGAAGGGCAAGCCGAGGCCCAAGGCCATGCAGCATATACACAACAGGTGTGAATTAGACGCAGCTCTGCCTGCTTCCGCAGTGACTGTTCATGCCACTTCAAGTTGTCGCTTGGGGAACTCACCCAACATGGGGCGGGGGGCTGGCCCCTCCCTCCGTCCCACGTTCCCTCCCTCCTCCTAGACGCCAGCAGAAGCAGAAAGTCTATCCCTGGAACTCGCGGCTTGGACCACTGGGCCGCATGAAACGTGAGGGGGTTGGTGCTTGGAACCTCCCTTCTGCAGGAAGCAGCACCCCAGAGGCGGGTCACCCAGCACTGTGTGGGCACTGAGTTGCAGGGGTTCCTGGGAGCGGCCCCCAGTGGGCGACAAGCTCTGGTGGGAGGGGGGTCTGAGCCGGAAGAAGAGGAGCTGGCCTTGCTGAGCCCTTGCCCGGGCAACCGGCCCCATGGCGAGGCCTATATGGCCTTCGCCACTCCTGACAGCACAGGAGACGGGTTCGAAGGCCGGGCGCCCTGTGGAGGGGAGAGAGACCAGGCCCAGTGAGCCGGGGCTGGAGAAACTTTCCCACCGGTCACTGTGTGCAGCCCAGCTAAGTGCCTCGGGGGACTTAGCTACCCAACATGAGGGCCTTTGCCTGGGGAAGATAGACAGAGGACGGAGGGGCAGGTGGGGACCCTGAGGGTCCTCCTGATTGAAGCCTCTCTTGCCCCTTCGAGAAGGTCCCTGAGTTTATGTATGTAGTGCCGGAACCCTGTCCTCCCGTTGTTCATCGATTTGCTGGAGCAGGCCCCAGTAACGTCTCCATGGTGAGACTTGTTACCGTTTTTGGCATATCGAATATGCCACGGGGAGCTTCCCAGTCTCTGCTGTGCGAGCCTAGCAAGCTTGCCGGGCTCTCCGAGATGGACAGAGGAGGAATCGAACCCGGGTCGGCTGCGTGCAAGGCAAACGCCCTACCCGCTGTGCTATAAATATTTTGTTTGTCCTTCCGGGAGGGAGGGAGGGAGGAATGGTCTGTGGTGCCGCAGATGGAGCGGCAGATGGGCGAGAACGCCGATTGGAGCCGCCCAGGATAAAACCATTCGTCTGAAAAAATTCATATGTTTGTGTGGGGGGTCGACTTCGCCAAAACAACAGCAAGAGGAACCAGCAGCAGCAGTGAGTGCCTCGGGCAAGGGGGCAGGCAGAGGGGTGGGCGTGGGGGCATGGGGTGGGAATACGTGAGAGGGGCAGGGCGTGTCTCAGAAACTGCTCAAAACGTGACTTCCTCCTTCCCACCCTCCCCAAAGCCAGGCATGGGGTCCGAGGGGGGATTTCTGGCCCCTGCTCCTCCCAGAGGTGGGGCCCAGCCTTGGACAGAGGTCAGGGAGATGGAACTTCCCTGCAGCTGCCCACACTCTGTGAGGTTTCCATCTACACCGATCCCACCCATGTTGAACCTACTGGCCGGGAGTGTGCCCCCCGGCTAGGGAGAGACTCGGATCTGCAGCCTGGGTGAGAGACAGGGGTCTGGACACACAGCTTCTGGCTCCTGCAATTCCATTAGGCCGTTGACATTGAGAGAGATTATTGTCATGTTTTTTTTTTAATTATTATTATTGAATCACCATGAGATACAGTTACCAAGCTTTCATGTTTGAGTTTCAGTCATACAATGATCCAACACCCATCCCTCCACCAGTGCACATTCCCACCACCAGTGTCCTCGTATCACCCGGCCCCATCCCAACCCTCCCCCTGCCTCTAGGGCAGACAATATTCCCCATACTCTCTCTCTCTACTTTTGGGCATTATAGTTTGCAATACAGACCCTGAGAGGCTATCACGTTTGGTCCTTTGTCTACTTTCAGCACACATCTCCCATCCCGAACCATCCCTCCAACCGTCATCAACTTAGTGACCCCTTCTCCATCCCAGCTGACTTCCTTCTCCCCCAGGTCGTGAGCAGGCTTCCAACTATGGAGCAATCTTCCTGGCCCTTGTCTCTACTGGCCTTGGGTGCTCCTCGGGTGTCAGTCTCGCATAAAGTTATTTTCACTGTATCAAGGTCATTCCATTATTCATCGATTTGCTGGAGCGGGTGCCAGTAACATCTCCACTCGTCCCAGCCCTGAGATTTTAGCAGCCTCTCCTTACTCGTCCTTCCCAACGGTGCCATATTGGAGGCTCTTTCAGGGTCAGGGGAATGAGACCCGTTATTGTTACTGTTTGTGGCGTATCGAATACGACACGAGGAGCTTGCCAGGCTCTGCCGTGAGGGGGGGATACTCTCAGTAGCTTGCTGGGCTCCTCGAGAGGGACAGAGAATGTATATAAGACAATACAAGCAAGTATGTTAAAACCAAACACGTGTGCTGCTTTAAGTACATCAGTGGGCTATGTTATTGTATATTCCACAAAAGAGTGCACTTCTATGCCTGTCCCTCTCTTTCTGACTCATTTCACTCAGCATGATATTCTCCATGTCCATCCACTTGTAAACAAATTCATGACTTCATCTCTCCTACCAGCTGCATAGTATTCCATTGTGTAGATGGACCAAAGTTTCTCTCACCAGTCCGTCTGTTTTCGGGCACTGCCTCCTGTGAGCAGTGCTGTTGTGGGGGTTTGTGCCATCTTCCTGTAGAGGTTTGTTGTGCTTGTAGGAGATTGTCTGGTCTTACAGGAGCCCCTACAGTCCATCTTTTAAGGCTGGTTTTCAGTCTTTGAAGTTCCTGAGCTGTTATTTATCCATGAAACAGTGTAGCATTCCTTGAAGTTCCTGCACTGTTGTTTATTCATGAAACTGTGTCGGTCCTTGGAGTCTGAGTGACAGTGTGGCTGATAAAGTATTCTTGGTGAGGCATTCATTTTATTGAGAACCTAGCCACAACTCTTTGCTTCAGAGACCAGAGCGGTGGCTGCAGTTGGCCTCTAGGGGGCAGTCACGAACCCTGGCGGGGCGTGGGCACCAGCAGGTGTGCAGACCCCAGCAGTTTCTGTCCTGGGCCACCCCTGAAGGGGGCTGTGTTGACCTCTAGGGACTCAGAGGCCATGGCACCTCCCTGCTGCCAGGCCATCTGCGGAGAACCTTCGAGATGATGGCCGGGGGCTGGGTGGACCCTGTCTGTCAGCCACTTGCTTACTCTCAACCTGGCGCAGCTGCCTTGAGAGAACCCCCCAAAGGGCTTCCACCACCGCCAGCACACCCCCCACTCATCACCACGAGAATGGATGCATCTGGGCACCTTCGGAGATTCACAATGCAGAGAACTCCAAGAGCGCCTGAAGCTGCTTTATTGCATGGTTTAAGGAGAGGAGTTGGCACCAGAGAGAGAATACGGTGGGCAGGGCACTGGCCTTGGACACCCTGGGGTTCAATCCCAGGTACCACTGTGGTCCCCAAGCACTGCCAGGAGTGAGCCCTGAGCACAGAGCCGGGAGTGACCCTGAGCACAGAGCCGGGAGTGAGTCCTGAGTACAGAGCTGGGATTGACCCTGAGCACAGAGCCGGGAGTGAGCCCTGAGCATAGAGCTGGGAATGAGCCCTGGGCATCGCTGGGTGTGGCCTCAAATACACACAACTCCATAATCCAGTAAATTGCGTTCCCAGGTCCCTCCGCCCTGCCCAGGGCCCTCTCTCTACTGGTGAGTGACATCACTCATCCTCTCTGGATTACGACGTGCCTGGCCTATCCCTTGCTGTCTCCCGTGCCCTCAGCCTGGTCTTGCTATTATGACCTTCTCGGTCCCAGCATATGCATTCCTAATCCGCAAGTTGCAACTGGAACCCTGTCCCTCCAGGTCCCCTGACCGGGACTCGCTGCCCTGGAATCCAACACTCGGCCTCTCCAGGGCAGCTCCTGTATTCCTCCGCCCACAGTCAAGTGCTCGGGAGAGACCCTCTGGGTCCTGTTATCTGTCCGGGTGTCTGAGACCCTCTGCGTCCTACTGTCTGTCCGGGCATCTAAGCCTACAAAGAGGAAGCAAGCCTGGCCTGAGTTCTCCCTGGACCTCATACTAGCCACGCCCGGCCATTTCTGTCACGCGTTTCATTGGTGGCCTAGATTCGAAGGGGCCAATTAAATGAAGCAGATTACCTGGAGTCCAGCCCTCCCCTCCACTTCCACCCATCACAATGCCATCAACTCAGCCCAGCGCA